AATGGGACATTTGGCTTTTGCCAGGTGCATCCATAAAGGAGCAAAAAGCTCAAGATGGTGCATGCACAACATTCATTTTTAAAAAAAAGGTAGGGCTTCTTCTTGAGTTTTTGATGTTGCTGACTTCTGCCCTAAAGCCTTTTTTTTCTGCTAGGATTTCAGAAAGACTTAAGGAATGTTGCCTAGCTTTCTTTCTAGAGATAAAATCTTGCTTTTCTAATTAGAATGTATTTCTCTCACACACACACATAGAAACCTACAAGGTCGCTCACAGAGAGGCACAGCTGTTGCTTCCCTAAGCTGAAAACAGCAATAGCAATAATTTCAAAGTGAAGCTTGCAGGATCAAGGTTTCAGTTCTAGGTGTCAAACTTGCAATGTCATGTGACGTGTCGTGACGTATCGCAACTTTTTTGCCATTGCTGGCAATGGGGTGGGTGTGTTTTGCTATGATGCATCCGGCCCACGGGCCGGCAGTTTGACACCCCTGCTCTAGAGCCACCATAGTTTTTCTTGGAACAGAAGCTAGATCTTGTTGCAGACCTTGAAGTCTCTGGGTCAGCTGTGTCCCTGGTGTGAACCTCTGTGTCCTTATGCCTGGGTCTTTTAAAAATGGAAGATGGGCCTCTCTTTCCAGGCTTCCAGATATGCACAACCTGAGGGGTATATGCCTGCACAAAGAGTGAACTGCCCAGTAAGTGCCTTGATTGTAGATGCAATATGTGACACACTAAAGCAGCCAGAACTCAAACTTGCTCTTTTCAGCAGTTGGTCAGATATTGCAATGAGGATCCTAAGCAGTGCAACACAATCCTCTGAACTCAGGTGGTTGGTTCTGCAGCAGCTTCCCAGGGCTTGTGACTTCAAGGCAGTGATTGTAGAAGATTTTCTGCTTTTAAGAAAAGAACTGGTGAAACATTTGGGGGAGTTATAAATGACAGGCTGAAAACATAATATGATGGGGAAAGGGTGTCAAGACAGAAAACATAAGACAGAAGGACATTTAAAAAAAAATCTTTTATGATGTCATTTATTTTACAAGATGTAAAGTCATTTTAAAGTTGTGTTCAAAAATTACATTAGTTGCAGTGAACCTAAATTCCATCTCCCTCACCCTTCTGCTTTTCTACAGCAGCTGGTAATTTATACAGCAAGGGTTCTATTTTGGACATCATCCATAATAAACACTGAAAGACATGTGCTTCCTCTTAGGGGAAAGCATGGCACAAAGGCTAAAGGCATCTTCTCCAATCTGATGCAGGGTCACCCAATGGAAGGATGATATTTCATGATCCTGGCTAGATATTAGTTGAAATCCAAGATTTCTGGAAGGTACCTAGATGGTGTCTGGTGTTAGAGGTGAACTGAAAGCTTTTGAAATAGAAATACTTGGCTGCCTCAGGACTAGCCATTTTCTCTTGGTATACAGTAACTTACCTTAAAGGCTGATCTGAGGATACTATGGAATGTTCTCCAAAGGATGCAATCAATTCTTCTTAGCAATAGATGAGATACAGGATATTAAGTACATCTACTACCCATGTTTCCCCGAAAGTAAGACCTACCTCGAAAATAATAGCTCTAAATTGATTTTGGGGGGTGGGTGGGCCATTGCAGCCAGCCCTGCTTCACCTCACCGGTCTATTTCCACGACCAAGGGAAATGCCTCTGCAGCTGAGCTCCAGCCTGCATTTCACCATCAGAGACTTTCTGGAAAGACCTTTGCAGCCGAGATTTAATCCGTAGCTCAGTTTTCGCTGCAGATGCCTTCCCGGAAGGCCACTCATGGCAAAATGCAGGCCGGAACTCCATTCTCAGCTAAGAGGACTTTCCTTCGGCCGCAGAAGAAGTGGGCCAGCTGGGTGGGGCTGTTGGTGCTGTAGCCATGAGGTGAGAACATGGAAAAGACACCCCCTGAAAATAAAACCTGGTGCCTCTTTTGGAGGAAAGAAAAGACTTATTTTTGGAGAAACGCGGTATATATATCTATTGGGTATGTTATTGAAGCCCTCCTTTTTTACAACCTGCTTGAAAGTCTACAAAATCAAGATCAGTACAATCCTTGGGGTTATGATAGCAATTGAGACTGGAACTGCTGTCGCTAAGTGACAGGGTCATAAAGCACAATGTCACCTGTTCGCACCATTGATCGACCACAGTTCTGTCAATCCAGGCTGCCATCATTCAATGAGGACTGCACATGACCACGGCAACGTCCTGCCACTTTCCCCATTGGCTTGGGAAGCCAGCAGGGAATATTGGAAATCACAATAATATGACTGAGACAATTGCTGCAAAATTGTAATTGCAAGCAGGGCACAAGTACCTAAATTGCAATGAGATGACCATGAGAATGCTGCGATGGTCAGAACTCCAAGGACTGGTCATAAGTCCCCTTCATTCAGCACTTTGCAATTTCAAACAGTCGCTGAATTAATAGATGAAAGTGAAAAACTACCTGTATATCATTTATGTGTTGGAGAAAATGCACTTGATAGTTCCATGCAATCATTTTTAACATGTCTAAATTAATAAATCAATAAATCATGAGGATTCATTGCAACGGCACAGGGCAAGGAGTCTCATCAGTTCAATATATATTACGCAAACCATTATTCAATGTTAATTGTCTTCATTATGTTTCTTATTTTAATCCCCAAGTGTTTACATACTGAGTGAAAGTAGTATTGCCCCCATGTATCCCATGGATCTCAATCATTAATTTATAACATCATGAGCTATTTTATATTGAACCCTTGTAAAAAATATCATTAGAGTAAAAATCCCAACTACTTAATCATGCTCCTCGATAGCCTTATTTTCAATAATTAAAAAATGTAATATAACTACAATAGCTTTTGTATATTTTATATAACATTTAATAAAATAATTCTGGGAGATTAAACATTGTCAGATTTACATAATATACAGAGTACTGTGGCAATCATAGTGTCTAATGTGTTCATAATGGTATAAATGTCAGGATGGTTAATTAGAGTTCCAAATTAATGCTCTTACAATATGATCCATTTAGACAATTTATATAACTAGGGCTTTTGAAATATTATAGCTACTATTAACACAAAAAATAATTCTCTTTTACAATGAATCCAACCTTTAATCATAAACTTCCTGAGTTTATTTTTATTTCCCAGTATTTAAATAATGCTTAGGATCATCCAACACAGATTAGATCACTACATGGAAATGGAGATGCAAGATGTTCAAACTGATTTCAGAAAAGGCCAAGGAACAGGAGACAATTATTTCTGATGCACGCTGGATAATTGCATGAGCCAAAGAATACCAAAAAAGAACCAATATGTTTTTCATTGATTATGCCAACCATGTTAAACTGCGGACTCTGCTTAGGAAAATGGTTGTCACAGATCATCTCATTGTTCTCATGAGAAACCTACGTATATATGAAGTTCAGGTTGGATCTGAGCAAAACAGGCTGACTTTTGGTTGGCAAGGAATGAGACAAAAGCCATATATTCTCCCCTTATTTATTCGGCTTATAAGCCGAATAGATATTGAGAAACTGGATTGGAAGAAGATGTGCAGTTTTAAAACAAAAGGTTTGGTAACCTGTGCTATACCGATGTCACAATTCTGATAGCTGAATATTATATATACAGTATGATTTGCAGGCTCTAGTGATGAAAATTAAGGGAGCACAGTGAAAAAAGAAGGGACTAAGACCAAACTAATGACAAGTACAGCAACCACTCTTAAAACTGACAGTGAGGATATTGAAGTGATGGAGAATTTTTGTCTTTTAGGACTGACTGTCATAAAGAAAGCAGCAGCCAAGAAAACATTGAAAATTACCGCTTGGCAGAGTAGCAATGAAGGCCTTGGAAAAGAGATGTAATGTGTCTCTACTGATACAGTTGAGAACTATACAGGCACTGGTTTTCCCCTGACACTGTATGAAATGGAAAAAAATAGACTTTGTAAAAACAGCTTAGAAAAAGTATAAATGTTTTGAACTTTCATGTAAGAAAAGAGTGCTGAAAATACTATGGTTACTCAGAAAAACAAACAAATGGATCATAGAATAAATCAGATTCTGGTTCTCACCTGAGGGACAAATGACCTGCTCAAATTATTTTTGGATATATTAGGCAAAGACCTACCTCTCTTAAGAATGCCATGAAAGGTGGAAGCAAAGGAAAAAAAGAGGACAATTAGCAATAAAGTGGATGGATTGAATTACAGCAGTAATAGGTATATGAATAGAATAGAATAGAATAGAATAGAATAGAATAGAATAGAATAGAATATTGTCACTTTAAATTTACCCTAAAATTAAATTTCATTGCATTCAGCTCTCAAAAAATACCATTATGCATACATACTGTATATGACACAAAGAAATATCACAGTCTAGTTTGAATGTATGTATGTGTATGTGTGTATATACATATATACATATACATACACATACACATACACATATACACACATGCCCCCCAAAAAAGAATCCTATGAATTTACAAGACGAATGGCATTAGGAACAAAGCTGTTATAGAATTCAGTAGTTCTGCTAGAAATATTTCAAATCCTCCTCCCAGAGGGGAGCAACAGAAACAGACCGTAAAGTGGGTGTGTGGGGTCTCTACCAATGCTTTGAGCTCTAAGCACATAGCGCTTATAAGCAGCATCCTGAATACCAGGAAGCGAACTTCCTATGATCTTCTCGGCTGTCCTTACCAGTCTCTGTGTGGACTTTCTGTCTGAGGCACTGCTACCACCAAACCATACAGTGATGCAGTTTGTTAAAACGCTCTCAATCGTGCCTCTGTAAAAAATGGCCATGACAGAAGGAAAAAGATGTGCTTTCCTCATCCGATGTAGGAAATGCAGATACTAGTTTGCATGCTTCACTATGGATGATGTATGAAGAGACCAAGTCAGATTGTTAGTTATCTGCATCTCCAGGTATTTTATACTATTGACCATCTCCACAGCTGCAGTCTTAATACAAAGTGGAGTATGACTATGCTGGCTCTTTCTAAGGGTAAGTTGGGAACAGATCATTCTGAAAAAGGTCTATGTAGTGACTTAGAGTTGACACCAACTTGATAACCCATAACATCACTTTTATTAGGAAAAAAACGTTCTGTTTCTTTTGTAGATGTTTGGTTAATTTTACCTTTTTTGCTTGCTCTATATAGAGGATTTCATCAACTCCTTCCTTTAATAGCTACTAATTTTTTCAGCTCAAGCTAAATTCTGAACAGATTTCTGGTTTTTATCTACAACTATCCTTTCCAGATAATAAATCATAATGGTTGAACATAATGTAGCCTCATAACCTATCACAAGTATGGTGTAGTTTTTTTTAATCTTCACCCTTTATCTCACAAGATAATGGAATAGCCCCAAGAAGGTGGCAGTTCACTAGATAATTTTGGACCAGTCATGATTTCTCAACCAATTTTTATCTCATAGGGTTATGAGATATATTTTTACTTATATAAAGTAAAAATTAGAGGAGCAAATGTATGCGTAATTCCTTGAGGAAAATTGGGATATAAATCTTAAAAATAAAAGGTTGAATAAATTGCTTCCCATCTTTTAGCACTAGCAGTTATGTATCCCAGTTATGTAATCTTAAACATGCCTGGGTAAAATATTTCAAAATAACGTTAGCCTAATTTTCCCTAGTATTTTAACCATAATGTTTGTGGATGTATGTAGCTGTTTTCAGTCATTTCCCCCTCTGAAATATTTGGTACTTAATAAGTTATTGTAAATTCTTCCTTATTGCATTGCTCCAAATTAATTCTCCACAATAACTTAGCATTTTTCTCCAAGTCCTCCTTATAAAATTACATTTAACAGTACTGAAACCTTGCATTTTCTGAACATTCATATACATTCTCAGCTTTTAAATATGTGACACCTGTGCTTTTCACTACTGTGGCAGGTCTACAGGTATCACTCCCTGCCCTGAAAGATGGAACAAAACCAGTTTTCGCCTACATACAATGAAAATACTGATGAACATTTTCCTTAAATAAAGATGTTTGTAATTACACAGAAGGCTGCTTTGTACTCCACTAGTCTACAATTGTTTTGCTGACACTCAGGAAACAGTACTTCTGACAGAAATCTTTCCCAACCTTATCCAAACTAGCCATGTTCAAACACAGGATTTATTGGGAGAATTGGCTCTACTTGTGAGCTACAGTTACTGCATTCCTAAGCGCTGATGGGATTCTATCTCATCAGCATCCTTTCACTGTCTTGTTTTCTACCATGTTCACATCTATACTGCAGTAACTGAAGGCAAAGCATGGAAAAAAGGGAATGGCCTGTAAAAAGCCAACATGAGCCAGAGTGAATCAGCAAAGGGTGTATCTATTGGATGAACCTGGACCACTTATTTAGTTCTTGAGGCATCTGGTTGATGATTGGAGAAAAGAGGATGGTTCATACAGTATTTTTCTAGTAAAATCTAATATGGCTACTCTCGAATTTATAAAGAATGATTTTGATAATGAGAATGAGAATGATAATAGCAATAATAGATAGAATTGTAGAAAAAAGTTCCCAATTTTTGGAAAAAAAGAGTTCTTTCTCCCTTTTGAAGACTTCTTAGCCAGGGAAAATCAGTGTTGTAATTTAGTAATCTTGTGCATGTCTTGTGCATTAAGTTCCATTAAGCTTATGCCCAAATAAGTTTATATAACATTGCAACCTAAATAGGATAGAGAATTCACTGTCCCTCAACATAAGATACAGCCATCTATGCATGATATTTCATTTTTGTATGTGATGGGCTGATATTTGACAATAGCTGATATATGTCATGTAAAGACATTCTTAGCACTTGACAGTATTTGATGAATGACAAGTTCTCGACAGTCTGCCAAAACAACAAAGATATGCCAAGAAACCTAAAACATTCTTATTCAGGTTTTTTTGTTTTTGTTTTGCAAAGTGTCACCTTCAGAAATTTAAAAGTAAACCTGGCAATGTTCCCTTTCATATTTACAATACTGAGCACCTCAATTCCACAAGTGTGAAGAGGTTGTGACTATTACCTTCTATTTTATCCAATTCTGCTTCTCTATATTAATCCCACTGTTTCTAAGCATCACTTCACTTTTATGGATGAGCTGTCCATGCCTCACACCTCAGTTAAGTTCTCTATGTCTTCCAGATCTGTTGCAACAACAGCTCTTTGAATTCTCAGCCAATCTGGAACCCCACAAGATGGAAAAGATTAATCTGAACTGTCCCTTGAGAGTTGTCTATTTACTTCCCTCCAGCCACTCATGCCATCTGCCTTTTCTTTTCACCCAGGTTATTCTCTTCTGGTTCAACCTAGCTGCTGCCTCTATTGGTGATGAACACTGTGGAAATCTTTCTTCTGCCAACAATATTACTGGTAAGTAAGTTTCAATGATTTGACTTACTCTCTATTAGACTGACACATTGTCCCACTTGATGGACAATCATTTTCTGAGAACAGTACAGTAATCACCAAGGATTGGCTGATTTCTGGAATCGGAAACTAGAGGCTATGAAAATATGTTCAGTCCATACCTTTTTTGGAATGGAGTCTAAGATATCTGGCTAACTATGCAGCCTTGGTATCTGGAACTATCCCTATTAGCCTGGTTTTAGTAAATATCAATTTTTCATCCATGTTTTATTAATTGCAAAGATATATTTTACATCATATTGTGTAATGTGAGCTTCCCCAAGCCATCTTTTCACACTTTCAGATTACAATCAGAAATCAGAGTTGGCATCCTCCATAAATTTAGTACTAAAACTCTCATAATCCTCAGACACAATGCCCATTAGCACCAGACTGAGCAAGCATTTACTCAGAGTACATAAACATCTGAGTGGCCCACAGGTAGAGGCCTTAACAACCGCTAACAGGCCTATCTATGATTCTCAATATTTGGGAGGTAAACAGAAATAATAAATTAAGGATCATGGATGTTGGTTAGGGAACACTCTTTCTGGTGAAAGAACAATTTGGTTCAAGAAGTGTAAAGAAGAGAATAATTTCTCTCCTCAGAAGGAACTGAAAGCCACAACTAACATTTTGATGAGGAAAATGTCTCTGATAGAAGAAGCTGGGGAAAAACTGTGGATGACTGTTGCTCTGTCTATTGTCTGTTGAGATTTGGGTCTAAATTCAGATTCTGCTTTGGAACTGACAATTTGCACTGCAGCCTACCCTGAAATAAATGTTGATATTTTTGTTGTCGCCTGTTTCCAGTAAGGTATACAGGAGCGCTCTCCTGATTAATGTTCCATCCAGCATGCTGGCAGAGTTCCTAACAGAGACCTGCAGCCGGTTTGCTCCAATAATAAAGGCACATGCAGGCATATGGAATCTGGTGAACTGCATTGTTATTAAGAAGATAGGACCAATTATTCACTGTGCCTGAATACAACACACTGAAGATCCAGCCCCAAGTGCCAGTTTTTCGTCATTTTGCCTGCCAAAAATTCCTGATTACCTGCTTCTTCATGCCTCCCCATGTATCTGCAATTAGCACCTGAATCTGAACTATCTGTGCCCTTCTCACGTGCCATTGCTTTCTTTCTCTTAAAACAAGAAACCCTGTTTATATTGCATTGGTCAAAATATCTCTGAGGTCCAGGTCTCTTCCATGTACTACAAATTTCTTATAATATTCATAGGAATTTCCTTTCTTTCTACAAGATTTGATATGTGTGGATATAATCTGAATGAAATATGAAAGAAGGCATAGTTTGGGGGTACATGGCAGCCACACACCTGATCAAGCAAAGTTTTGGCAATCAAGAAGGACATGAAGTTCAGCAAAAGTGCTGCATAAGGACCGAGGAGCCTTAAGAGTTTAATCACCATCACTGCTGAACATGTGTTTGATAGCTCTGGGCAAAGCTGGTTAAAGTCTCTTTTTTTACCAAGCTTATATGCATAGTGCATAAACGGCACCTGTTAATTTATATGAGTTCATTTGTAAGTAAATTTCTTGCCTAATTAACAAGCACTCTTCACCAGTCTTACCTCTTGGCGTGAATTATCTTTATTACAACATTAAATCATGAAGAGCAATTTTGTCAGCATGTGAGCATAAAGGAATTCTGATTTAAGTCATTGTAAGAGAAAGGGAGAACTTGAGGGAGCAGCTGAAATTTGGTCAGACAAGAAATTAGAATGGGGCTGTTGCTCAGCCTTGTTACCCCAATATCTTAAACTTTGTGCCATATCCAACTGAGCTTTATATTTCAACCTAAAGATCATGTTTATAGTTGGTGCATTTGCTGCCAGCATCTCCTGAATCAGATTAATTATTTGTTGAAAAATAGTTACATATGAAGCTGCAGAGAAAATGTGTAGAGCTGTCCTATAGAGTTTTGCAACCAGGGAAAAGCTTAATCTATTTAGCATTTATCGTTATATTTTTAGAACTTGTTATCCTTATACTTATCAAATATATAAAATATTTTTCTAAAATACACTATTGTATTAATTATTACATATAAAATATTTATAAGTGTGCTTTATATTTGCATTTTGGACACTTTACTTATTTTAGGGTGACCATAATCAATTTTAATTAACTATGTCACCTCTTTCCCGATCATAAACCTTTCTCACAAATCCCAGGCATTCACCCAAAATGGCACTTTGAGCCATTAAACAGGCAGCTGCTCACAGGAGCATTGAAAAAGAAGGCCCAAGATACTAGTACAATCTATGACAGGGTGCCAGAAGTTGCTTAAGCAAATCACCTCTTGATTTAAACCTGAATAAGTCTGTGAGTGAGGAAGAAGAAGAAAGAGAGAGACAGGTTTTGGGGATGTAATGGTTCTATAATTACAAGAATCAGTTTTTCTGTAGTGGTTTAAAGGGTCAGTCAAGAAACTGGGAGACTGTGAATTCTAGTCCTAATAACATGTAGATATTTTTAACATATATATACTTTTTAACATGTAGATACTTTTAATTATACAAAGTATCATAGTTACTGATTTAAAAACCCTGCATTACTGTATGCAGGGTTTTGGAGTCAAAGTTTCATTGAAACAATGCACACTACCTCATTCCCCCTCTTCTCTACCTCTGATTAAAAACAAAAATGTTTTTGTCTCTCCTGACAGCTCTGCTATGCTTCTAACCAAGAATGTCTCCAAAACCAATATAGCCATTTTTAAAATTCATTTGAAACTTGAAACATAATCCATTTAGTGCCAGAAAAGGGTAGTTTTCCCCATCTTAGTGGCTTTAGAGTGCTGGATAACCAATCTTACTATCCTCAGCCAGCCAGTATTGCAGATTGGAGATATAGCTCAGTATCTGAGGGCACCGAGGATGCCATTTTGAAAGAGGTTGCCATGGGAGGTCCTTATTTGTTTTATGCCACTGAGTCAGCCATCCAAATGTGATTCCTTCTGGTAACTAGTGGCATCAGTTGCTCTAATGTGCTAGAAATTGCAGAAATGTCTGAATTAAGAACATGAATAAACATTTAATCCAATATTCCAAAGCATCTGGCATGCATCTACATTGAAAAGGTTCTAGAACCTTCAGTGACTTCTGATATACTATTTCTGACCAAACTGAGAGAATGGAATCATCAATATCGCAATGGCTATGAAACAATATTTTACTCATTGAACAATCTGAGAAAGTTTGTTTCAATCTGAGGGCTAAATTTTCTCTGTGGCTTGTGAAAATAAACAGGGGTAGCAGGAACTGAGAATGGAAGAAGTGGGAGATTAAGAGCCAGAGTTTCTCAGGGCAGAGATGCTATGTTGAGAGTCCAGGCATGCTGCTTCCGGAAGTCTGTTCTGGACCTGGGCAACAAAAAAATAGCTACCAGTTCTGCTGAAGTGGTGCAAACTGGCTGAGTCCCAGCACTGGGTTCTACCAACTTTAAGCAGCGGACTCTGCCTTGATTGCTCTTTCACAATTCACAACATTGGGAAGAAGTCATTACATGCCTGCTCAAGGCTCAGAATGATAGCTACCAATCTTACTGACAAAGTCTCTCATGATATTCCTACCGATAAACTGGTAATGATAAAATGTGGGCTAGATTATAGAACCGCTAGATAAATTTAACATTTGTGAATGACCACATAAGATCCTCATAAATATCTCCATATCAGCTTGGAGAATAATACTGAGTACAATGCTAAATATATCTGTCCTGGGCCAAGTTTTGGTCAGGATTTTTATTAATGTGTTAGAATAAGTGATTGAGGGGATGATTATCAAAAGCGGGGATGATACAAAACTAGGAGAAATAGCTAACATTTTAGAAGTGAAAAAGAATATAAAAAGATCTAGATAGGCTTGATTTGTGAGCTGAAATAATTTGACAGGGAGAAATGTAAAATCCAGAGAGAAAAAATAAAGAGAATTTATGTAAGATGCAGGGAGGGGAGGAGCAGAGAGAGAGAGAGAGAGAGAGAGAGAGAGAGAGAGAGAGAGAGAGAGAGAGAGAGAGAGAGAGAGAGAGAGAGAGAGAGATCTGGCTTGGTAATTGTATATGTGGAAAGGATCCAGGTGCTTTAATAGATCACAAATTGAACATAAGCCAACACTATAATGCAGCTATTAAAAATGCAAATACTACTTGGGGATGTATTAATAGGAGCATAGAAAGTAATTCTCGCTCTGTTTTGGAGTGATCAGACTCCACTTCAAAAGCTCTATCTAATTCTACCAAGATTTTGAAGAGATTGGAATCCAGTTGTACGAGGAATGAGATATGTTTACCCTGTAGAAGAGAAGTCTGTTCAGACACCTAAAGGAGGCAGTAGATTTATTCTCCCTTGTCCAGAGAATAAAACCAGCTCCCATGAGTTGAAATTATAGGGAAAGAGATTCAGTAAAATAATCCTAACCTTAATTCTTCCAGAGTCTTGATGTCATAAACTCCAGGTGATTCTGCTGTCAATCACTTGGCCAATCCTTTGCTTATATATCTATACTAGATAGCTACCCAGATACCAGTATATTAGCTAGTCCTAACATGGAACTGTTAGCTCAGCAGGTGCCAGATTCCTACTTTCTTGGGACAGAAACCCAAGTCAGATTACTGCCTTCTTTGCTCAAAGCAAACTGTACATGTCTCTAAGGTCACAGGATTTTCCTGCTGATCAAGTGAAGGTAGCTTTCTTAATAAGTCTCACTGACTGATGGAGATTCAAAGTAGGCAATCCACTTATTGATCTAGGCTTGTCTGGACTATGCTAACCTGTGACATGTCTGAGATAAATCTTTGGGATTCTGTCAGGCATATGACTGCCAATAAGATCCATTGCTTCTGGCAGGTAAGCATTCAGTGTAGGCACAGAATTTCATCCACAAATATAGAATGTGAGCTGAAATGAAAGAGGCTTAATTGATCAATTAAATAAGGCCTA